AAGGATTTCTGTTTTTATAAAATCACTAAATGCATTTAGAATGTATAGAAAAAGTGAATAATTTAATTTCTTTAGTAATATGGAATTCAGAAGAAATATGAAATATATATATGGTAAAGGCCGGTTACGGAGCTGATGTGGCAGAATTTTTAAGAATTTAGTGACACACCAAACAACAAAATCTAGAAATGGCGAAACTTTTACAAATTAGACAGGCATTGGAAGCAGAATTTAGAAAGGCACTATGCAGTCGAATTTAGGATCCACAGAGATTGCATCAAATGGGAAAATGTGTATGATGCATAGCTCTGTGTATGATGCATTAAAACATATTAGATGGATCTTTGAAATTATAAGTTTTTAATTTTTGTATTAATAAAAAAATCCCCTTCTATAATGCCTGCCCAAGTGATACGATTAGAAGCATTTTTGATATTTTCCATGCTTGTGTCTAGTGAAAAGTAGAGAAAATAAAGGGAAGATAAACATGTTAAGAAAAAGATTTTAGTAATCAGGAAATAAACACTCAAATATTATTCATGTCTTCATTGTTTCTTCTTCCAGACGTTCTCCAAAAAGTAAGAAATTCATTCATCGCAACATTCTGTAAAATACATCCATTACGCGTTGATACCATGAAGACATTTTTCACTTTGTCACATATTTCTTTAATCTTCTAGAATCGTGGGTCTATAAATCTTGCTTTCAAATCGTTCTAAATTTTCCAAGTTGCAATGTCAAAAACACTAAAGAAAAATTATCCCAACCAATTCTGTAACATCAAAAAGCCCGAAATATTTGGAAAAAAAAAAGGAGGAAAAAGTGTAAAATTACTTTTATAGATGAAACTGATGCATATTCTGAGAATTTTGAATATTCCGAGACAATTACATGGGAAAAACGCTTACTACGAAAAAATTAAAAAGAAGATATTTTTAATTAATTACATAGAATTTTGCTTTTGCTAAGAGTTGTTTCGTAAATTGTGCTTTATAGCATTATACCTTGTTATTTTTCAGATTCAAAATATTGTATAATAAGTTGCCAAAATAAAACTTTATAATATGGCAGCAGAAAATAAAATAGTTTTATTTTAATGTTATTTATCAAAGTTATAATGTTTTTAAAAAAAATCGTCGAAAAATTCTGATTTCAGAATTAAAAATTTTCTATAGAAACTGGTCTGAAAATCGCCAAAATGTTGACAAGTCGCCAAATTTAGAACAAGAATTCATACTCCCAAAAGCGAAAATTGTTTAAGAGCTCTTTATTAGAATAAATGAATTTCGAAATGCTTATGTTTCACTTCTTGCTTAGAAACTCGAGTATCCCATCATTTATATTAAAAATAGAAACAAATTCTAACCCATGAACCCATTCAAAAGATAACCATATACGTCAGTGAATCGCCAAAAATGTTCCTCCAAAATGCTAATTCACACTCAAAAATGGCAGTCGTAAAAACAGACAGAAATTTCAGATGATTAAAATTAAGGACCTTTTACTGATTTTGGCCAAAATTAAGGACTTTTAAGGACCAAAAATCGATTCCAAAAAATTTAAGTACTTTTAAGGACTCTTAAGGACCGTACGAATCTTGTATATCAGAAGTGGTGTAGCTCAGGGAAGTGTGCTTGGGTCCAGTTTGTTTAATATTTATACTAATGGCATGCCGGTTCCTTTAAATACCAAAACTGTAAAATATCTTGATGATACCGCCATCTATACAAGATTCCTCAAGCCCCTAACTGGCAGTGGATAAATTAGAAATTGCAGTAAATCATATCACCCATTATTTAAATTCATGGAAATTAAGCATCAACCCTACCAAAAGTCATGTTCTGCTTAGACGTCATAGGAAACATACTCCCGTTGTAGTGAACATAATTATAACTTAATTGCAGTTTTTCAAGAGGGGTGTGGCATTTTTTGAGTAGTGGTTTCAAACACAAACACATCCTGCCTGAATACACAATCTGAAAGCAATTGACAGGCTAGAACTTTTTTTCTTAGCAAAATGAAAGTTTTTCATTCACAAAATAAAAAACATTTGAACTAAATTCTAAATTTTGCTTATTTATCAAAGCATACATAAATCATAATAATAACACAGAAGGGAAAATCAAATTTATATTGATTTTTATATTTATCGATTGATATTTGTATTGATTTATATTAATCTACAGTTTTCTACCAGCAAACCATTTTCATTGGTTGTATTTTGTAATTCAAAATATTCATAACTGAGGTTTTTTTTTATTTTATTTTTTGAGAAGTACAAATCAAAATTAATACAATCGATACATTCAAATCTCTGAATAAGATTTATACCCCATTGTAAATTAATTAACTTTTGTTTTAGATTTTCTGATTCCTTCATTATTCATGTTCCTTTTTTAATATTAATGAAAACAATGTAAACCCAGACTTTAAATAATTAAAATCTTGAAATCTTTTCAAGAATATATTAGCAGCAAATACATAATTCAAACGCATTCATCGGCCATATGAAATTAATTGGGGGCCGCAAACAGCCCAGTTCCACTAGTTTGAGACCACTGTGTCTGTTGATTATGCATAAACTATTAAGCTTTGGTGCATATTAATTGCTTCAAAATTAATTCAGTACTATCGGATTATCCACCCAAAAAGAATCGCCGAGCAAAGCGCTATGTTGCCAAAGTAGGTTACCCAGAATTTTACGACAATGTATTTATCTGGAAACTCATTAATGGTTGTGCGCACATTATGCTGTCATCTATCTCAAAAGCAACGATAGTAATTTGAACAGTTTTAACTTGAGGGTTATAATTGTTGTTTCTGCTTGTTTTCATTAACTGATGGAGTTGTAATGAATCATAATGCCACTGTGTGGAAAGCATTGTATTTTTTCTGAAATATGGCATTTTGCTTATTAGTACAGAACATAGAAATACGCATTTCATTAATTCATGCAATTCTCTAAATTTGTTTTTAATTTAAAAAAGGTCAATTTGTACATGAATGGCAGTTCAAGTTTGCTCTGCAATCCCAAAAAATTTACAGTTCTCCAGTTTTTACTTCCTTGTACAAAGAAAAGTAACTGTAATCACGAAAATTTTCAGGCTGCATATTTCAACAAAAATATCCATTTTGAGCACTATCAAATGCAATTTAACAATATTTTTCCGTGACATCTATATGTAAGGACAGAATAAAGGACTCCTTTTTTTTTTTTTTTTTCCCCTTCCAAACGGGTTGCAAAAAACGATCTAAAATGGATTCAGAAGAGATTTTTTCACGACGTCTGTGCTTATATACCACGTATCTCACATAACTCAAAAACAAGTAGCCTCAGAACATTAAAATTCCGTATGTAGGACTGCTATAACATGTAGTTGTGCACCTCCCTTTTTGGTTGCAATCGGCTGCGCCAAAAGTTGTATATATATATATATATATGTACTAAAGAATATTGATTAAATTATCTCCTAAGATTCATTTCAGTAGAATTATCTTAAAAGAGTGAATCCATACTTGTCCATACTTGTTTGTAGGTTCAATTTCGAAAAATGTTTTAAAGTAAGATAATTCTACTAAAATTAATCTTAGGAGGTAATATAATCAATGTTCTTTAGTAAATAAATTATTATTAACTTACTTTGCAGCAATTACACAAGTAGTAGAATAACTTGATTTCGCACTAAGTGAATTATATATACACACACACACACACACACACACTGTTACTCAGCGCTTTGAGCTCAGTTTTTTATTTCTTATATGTTGGTAAATTGTGCATTTTTTGCTTTAAAAATGATTGGTGCTGCTCTTATCATCGGGTTAAGGTTTTTCCGGTTAAGGTTCTTTTAGTTAATCTGCATGCAATAGTTGTATAATTATCAACAATTTAAAAGTTGTTCACGTGTGGCTAAGCCGATTTTTTTTTTTACTATAACAGCCATATTTATTTACATTTGGCACTTATCAGAATAGTGAATTAAGGTGGTTTCTGCACCTTCCGTGTCTTTTTGCTAAGTGGGGCCAAAAGTAAACTTTCATTTTTGTGCAACGAAAAATCTGCCTTATTGCCCGCTGGCCAAATTGATTGTTTTTGTGCAGAAATTCCAATTTTAATTGTAAAAATTCGTTTTTTAACTGTTTTAAATTTTTTGGTCTTTTATTTTTTTCTATATTTTCAATTTTTATTGAAGATATTTGGAGGTTTTATGCATTTTTTCCTTACGCAAAGTGACAACTGAATGAGAAATGTATCTCTATTGAAATTCGTGGAAGTAAGTTTAAGTGAAACGCAGCAAAAAATTAATATAATTTAATAATTCGTCCTAGAAAGTTATGTGATGTCTGCATCAGATTTTTTTAAATCAAAACAGACTACACTGCACACAGATAGAAGACCACGAAAGCAGAAAGGTAATTTAATTAATTTGTTACTGTTTTATGAAATTTTGAGAATTTCATTACAGATGTTTGTTTTATGTAATTTTTATTGTTTCAATATGGATGTTTCTTGCATGTTTAGTTTGTATACATGGCTATTTTATGTAATTTCCAGGATGCCATCCTTTTTTAAAATGGCTACTATTTTTCACAAGTTAGGTTGGCAAAAATTAGTCACCAATGACTGGCAACTTAGCAGGAAAGTTGAGTAGATTAACATGAGGGTGCTGTTAATTCTATATGATAAGCAGAGTGATGTTTCATCTATCAGCATATTTCAAATGAAAATTAATTTCAAGCATAAACGTGTAATATAAAATAAGGTAAAAGAAGTAACCATGTAATTTCAAGTTCGCATAAGTTGTGATATTATTGTATATAATACTATTAAAATTACGAACTATTAAAAAATTAAAACTTAAAAAAAATATTTATCTTCATATCAATGGCATAAATCCAAAATTTAATTACTATCACAAACTACACTAATATATTCTAACAAAGAATAAAACTTAGCACAAATATAATACAGTTTCAAAAAGCCTTATTTTGTAATTTACCATGAGAACATCACCACCTCCTAGGATTAGAGGTATGGCTTCTGCCTGAACATCAGTCGGCAAGCTAAAAAAAATAAAAAAACTTTCTAAAATATTTACAATATATTAATTAATAATAAAATACTAATAAAGTATTAACTAGAAGCTGGTAAAAATATATTTTATTTAAGAATGCAATCATATATCTATAACAAGTACTTTATTCAATTTTTCAATCATGCTCTAAAATTTAAAATGGCCTTTCAAATATATTTTTCTTAAAGGTTTCATTTTATCTTATTTTTCACATCTAGAAGAAACTGTCTAGTGAAAGCCACAACCAGCTAAGCGGTATTTTGTAAAACATCAACATTTTGCGAACTGCGTATATTTTTAAGCACATATTGGGCATCATAGATATGATATGTATAGACTTTTTATTAAATGTACTTTAAACTAAATTACTTGATGGGAATAATGATTCAAAAAATCAGAACGTACAGTGGTATTTTGGTACATGCCATTAATCCGTTTCAGATCATTGAACGCATAGCAAATGAAATTTCCCAATATACTATGCATAAATGAAACACCATACATAATACCGTACATAAACATTTTTCAGCTATACAAATCAAAGGAAATTTTGCTCTAATGTCTCTTAACTTTGTTTCGCAATTGATTTGGTACTGTTCCATTATTGAGACTGGATCCAGATATCATCAAAAGCTGATAATGTGGCAAAAAGATTAGAAGCATAAAATAACTGCCAAAATATTTGCAATACATTTAAGTTAAAGAAAAATCCAAGACAAAAAAAATAACATAACAGATACTTATTAATAAAATTAGAAATTTTTAACATAAATTAAATAACTTGCCAAAGAAATCAAGTGACAAAAATTGTAATATGACGACTTGGAGTAACTGCTTCCCCTGACTATGGTTTTCTGTATTATATCCTGGAAAGACTTTACTGCATAGTTACAAAGATGACACTCGACATGTAGATAGACGTGGCTGAATTGAACATAACTTTTATTGGAGGATACAAACTAATTATCAAAAACACATTTTTCATCATATAGGATCGTGGGTGCAACACGCACCCCACAATTTTATATAGAGTATCCCATTTTAGATAATGGTATAGTTAGTAGCACAAAAAGAAAATGAAGCGAAGCAGTATCTAGACTGCAGGAGAGCTGAAGCTAAAGATGTACAGTTATCCAATATGAAGGATCACCAAGAAAAGGTTTTGGTTTAGATTAGAAAGGCTTCAGTTCTCAAAATTATGAGTTTAGGTTCTGAATTAGTTACGTCATCAGCGTTATGCAAGCCATAAAAGATGGATTGATCTAGATATGATGCAGTCCAGAAAAGTTATTACGATTTTTAAAATACAGAGGGGAATTACAGGGTTACCACTAATTTAAATTATAATTTTGATATACATGTTTTTTATCTTACATATATATATATACACTTTTGGTATTGCCAATTGCAATAAAAATGGGAGGTACACAAAATTTCAACGTTACGTGGATAAAAGTTTTAGAGTTATGCAAGATACGTACATACATATACATGTCCCCAAAAAAATCCATTTTCGAATTAAGAGCCTTTTAGTTTGTCGTATGCAAAAACGTCATGCAACAAGATAATCAATATGGATTTCGGAAACAGTCAAAATGGATATTTCGGCTGAATCCAAAATTTTTCGTGATTACAGTACTTTATTTCCAAAAGAACAAATTAATGACAGAAGGCATTTACACTCCCCATTCTAGAGATGAAAAAAACTATTACCTGATTAAAATATATTCAATTATAATTACACTGCTATCACTTATGATAGTTATAATAAATATAAAACACCTACTTTCTATTACTGCAGATATTAAAACTACTCAGAAAACTAACACGAGAATCATCAAAGTGTTAATATTCAAAATAAAATTATACCATATTAGAAAACTATTTTATTACTCCATTATCTACAACATTTATATTTATATGAAAATGAATATAAATATTTAAGTACTAATAAATGCATCACAATTTAAATATTTTAGTATTAAACCTAATTAATCATGAATTTAATGAGATTATTATGATTCTAATTCCACCATGCTTTTATTGCTGAATTCCCAAAATTTGAAAATTACAAATTAAGCTAATAAATTTATTACACAAGTCAGGAAATAGTAGTAATGCTTAGCAAATAAATCATTATGGATCAACCACTTCATTGTTTGCCCCGAGAGAGATTTGTATGTTTGAGAAATGTCATCAGTAGCTTCAAACTAGCTTTGAACCCTAATACAGCGTATATATATATATACAGTCAAAAGTCGTTAATTCGGACACCCATAATCCGGACCTCAAAGCTACAAACTTTCTGCGCATGCGTCGCACGTAAGACCTTTACGGCTGAGAATATGCGTGTGTGTGTGTGCGCAAAATACGTTTACGAATTGCGTTTAATGTATAACGGACAGTATAAGCTAAGCTAAAATTATCTAATTCAGTTAATGTTGCAGATTGCGTTGTTCCTTAATATTCGAATTGGATTCATTCTTATTCTAATGAATTCTTATTATTTTTTGCATACTGTTCGAGTAATTTTATAAAAGTAAGCTTGAACTTTCGATTATGTTGAATAGAATTTCTGATATATATTTACTAATATGTAAAGGATCCACAAAGCGAAAGTATTTTTCGCTTTGTAGATTAAACAAAAAGTGGAATTGCTGCAAAAAATGGATAAAGGCATATCCTTTGTTTATCTTTAACACCGCGGTGCGCAATGAATTGGAAGTTGATCTGTCAGCACTATCCTTATCTTCAGGGCAGATGTTTTTATTTTATTTGGCTTATAATTCCTTACTAAATGTAGTATTTCATCTCAATGTATTCCATCTTTGATATGATTTAAATCAAATTCCTCGTCATTATAATTCGCTTTCGATAACGAAGAAAGTGACAGAGGTTATCGAAAACAAAAAAATTTCGATTAACAAATTAGTCCGTATTCTCGACACAGCAATTATAGGACTTGAACAGCATAACTTTGTAACTGAACAAGAAATTATGTCTGTTTATAGAATTAAAGAGAATGTATTATCACCTAAAAAACGAAGCAACTTAAACAACTTTACATTGAAAGAAATGTTTAATAAAGTAAACAAATAAATATTAAGCTTTTTTTTTTTGTAAATTTTGATACCCTTTAGATCATAATTGTTCTTTAGTTCATAAATTACGGTTTCATATTTTTAATTTTATAATTTCTGCATGCCATCTTACCAGATTTAAACTGATGATCTATAATCCAGAAAAATCGATAATCTGGAATCGCCGAAGTCCCGACGAGTCCGGATTAACCCCTTAACTGCCGCGGGCGTATATATACGCCTTGCTCAGCCGATGCGTTAACTGCCCCAGATGCGCAGCCAATGCGTTAACTTTGCGAATAATTTTAGGTGTAGCAGCGCAAAGCAAATGATAGCAGTTTGAAAGGACATATATATACGCCTGGGGCAGTTAACGCATCGGCTGAGCAAGGCGTATATATACGCCCGCGGCAGTTAAGGGGTTAACAACTTTTGACTGTATAAGATAAAAATAGTAGTTTTCTATTTTTAATTTCTAAAGTACATTTTACATTGCTTTACAATTAAGAAAATGTGGATTGTTTTTTTAAGTTTAAATAATTAATTTTAATATAAATTTCATGAATACATAAAAGAACATTTTGGTTTTATATTGGCAACAACAATTTTTACAAAAGACATTTCAAGACAGGAACTGTAAAATATTACAATTATGATTATAAAATTCAAGCAAAGATTTTAAAAAACTGTAAACTTTTATAGTTATTTCTTGAAAAATTAGAACATTCCTTAGATTATTTTTATAGAAAAATGAAATTGCAGACTTTCAAAATTTCAATCGAATTTCCAATTTGCCTTTACTGTTCAAAATGGTATCTTCAAGATTTTGTTAAAGAATTATTTAGATCAAAATTTTATAATTCCCCCCCCACACACACACACAATTTTATTTCCATTGTTTCGCTAATACTTTTGTCTAAAAAGGGTTTTTTCCTGTCACTAAGCCTTTTTCTTGAAGGGGGTAAGATTAAAAAATATGTAAATCAAAATTATAATTTAAACTATTAGTAACCCCTTAATTCTCTCTCTCTCTCTAGTCTAAAAATCATAACATTTCTGGACTGCATAATTTCTAGATCATTCCATCACGTAAGCCTTGCTGCTGATGTAACTAATTCGAACCTAAACTCAAAACTTTGAGAACTGAAGCTTTCTAAACTAAACCAAAACCTTCTTTTAGTAAGCTTCCATATCAGATAACTGCACTTTATCTTCTGCCTCTCTTCCTGTAATGATGCTATTTCACTGTGGTCTCTTTCTATCACAAGAATGTAAGAAATGTAAATATTCTTGAATAGGTATGATTAGAGTGCCACGTAAATTGTGGCCATAAATTTCAATTGAAATAAAGTTGAATGTTTATTCTTGCTCGGCTGCCAAGTTTCCTCAACAGCATTGCTATGTCTTTTTCACTACATTTGTGCTGTGTGATCAGTATATATATATATATTACATAGCTTTTATATAGAATCATATTGGCGTGATTAACTGAAGCCCCAAGAAAAAATGCAGTAGTAGGGTTTGACATGTTTTCAAACCCGGTTTTTAAGGTAAATTTGTCACATTTGAAAACTGGTTTTCTTTCTTAATTAAGAAAACTGGTTTAAAGATTTGATATTATTATGTACAATTTAATTTTAAATTTATTTGATTTGCTATTCATTCTATGCAACTGGCAGCAAACACATTTTTTTCATCATTGGCCAGTGATTATGCACTCATGGAAAAGACATGCATAGCCGATTTATTTTAAGTTAGTACATATGTGCAATTGGTCACGAGTCACAACAGGTCCGCTTAATATTGTTCAGTGAAAACTGTAAACAAAAATATACAGTTGTTATATTTGGTAAAAATAATGTAAGTATGTTTCTAATTTCTATGTATTTTTCATTTTACATTTTAAAAC